TTTTCTGACTCACCCGTAGCAATGACAACATTATAACCACACTTTGATTAATGCAACACGCGTTCACCTTTGTTACCTTTAATAAAGTGTTTAGCAGTGAAGTACAGTGTGTTACGTTTGGTTTTTATAGTCATGGAAAGTTAAGCACATGTACTAGAGTCCAATTCTGAGGTATCCACAGAGTATTTCATTGTCTGCTACTTCTTACTTCGAGTTCACTCCATTTCACATATCGTAGCTTTTTACTGTACGAAATGTACTTTTCAGAATCACACCAATAAAACAGAACACAGTATAATCATCACATAATCACTGGTTGAAAACAAGTTGAAACAAAAGCAAACGCTTCATATTGAGTCAATGAAGATGTCACTCATCTTAATTCACTGGTTTATCTATGACCTGATGTTTTCAGGGTGTTAATTATCAACCCAACTGCTGAAAACTGAACATTCAGGCAGGTTGTTCCATGATCACTGTGGCAGTTGCTGTAAAAACAGCCTCTCCGTGCAAAAGGTTTTCTACACTCAGCTGGTTAACGTTGCACTACTTTCCCAGAATGCTACAGGAGAACCATGCAGAAATGACAGATCTTAAATAATCCTGAGTTGAAAGTATTATTATTAGTAATATTACTGCTATTCGAACATTTTACTACTAATGTAAACAACATCCATTAAACTGATTGTACATAAAGCACAGTTCAATCTAACTCCAAACAATAAACACTTCAGTGTTTTTAATGAATAAATGTGTAAATAAAATTATTACCTGGTCTGAAAGGAGCCTGTTACACCAGTCCACATTCTCCCCTTGAACCAAAGCCCCCCGCACCCACACTGATCTCTCAGTGAAGAAGAAGCCCCAGAGGATCAGAGTGAATCTGGACTGGACGTTTCAATTCTTCCTTTTTTGGCGGGATAACGTTTCCTGCCAAAGGTTTACTACTGACATCTGGTCTTAAAATGAGTGTCAGCACATTCTGCCAGTTTTTATAATAAAATACGAGACTGATGAAGGCATGAATACATCACTGCAAAAGCAACAAAAATGAAATCTTTGTAGAAATGGAAACTTAAAAAAAACACTGGAATATAGAAGTAAAATGTTAAAACAGTAAAAACAAAGTGAAAATCAATTCTAGTGGATCTTGACTTTAACTTTCCCATAGCTTCACAGCTAATGTCACTGACAGTTACATATTTTATTCAACACACCTATACATAGTTTTCAATGAACAATTTTTAAACTGAAGACACCACATGAGTGCAAAGTATCATTACTCCAGATGTTTCATTTTACACACATTTCTGCCAACTTTAGCTTGAAATTAGGTATTTTAGTTGGAGCAAAGTTTACCTGAACAACATTAGAACTCCAGGAAGATGAACATGGGCCACCTGGAACATTAGATCTTATGATCTGATTTTCTAATGATACATTTTCATTTAAATGCTAATTACATGCTGTTGTTAATCTGAATCAGAATAAAATATCAAATAAATGTTGTAAAAATAATTGCCTCTGAAATGTTATGTAGCAGACATAATGTAAAAATAAACTGACCATAACAATAAATTAATTA